TCCCTTGTTTCTACCACTTTATCCTGCTTCTTTGTGTGGGCTGTGTTGGTCTGTTGTCTCCGAGGCATTGTGGTGTTGTTGTATTCAGATCTCTGTTAATTGTTTGTGAAGAGCAGCCAAGGGTGATTCAGGCTATTTTTGGTGTTTTTTTATTGTTGGCCCATTGGTGGAGAAGGAGGTGCTGGCTCTCGCTCAGTAAGTGAAGTTGCAGGAGGTGTGGGAGTAGTTGTGTCTTATGGGGACTGTTGTTGTCTCCCACTCAGTTAGACACAAATTATAATTGAATAACCATCAAAAAACTTAAAGCACATGAACAGAAAACACACCATGTAATCACACGGGAACAGTAACCAAAAAAAGAAAAAAGGGAAAAAGAAGAAGAAAAAACAAGGAAACCTGCAATATCTGGGGATAGGGCACTAAGAGAAAAAAAGTAGAGAGGGAGAATAATGAAGGGAAAAATGCAAACAGAAAAACAAGGAATGGGGTTAACCATGAGAAAAAAGGGGGTGAAAATAAAATTTCAACCAGGAACAGGGAAAAGAAAAAGTGCTGAAAACTAGGACCTGGGAGGAGAAGATTAAGAATAAGATTAAGAATAATAGTAAAAAGGACAAAAGTGTTAATAATAATAGTTGTTTTAAAATAGACAAATACAGTCAAAATTAATCATCAGAAAAAAGAAAGCGAAAAAGAAAACAATTAAAAAAAAAAAATTGGTGGAGGACAGGGCAGGGTACCCAGGCTCCGTCTGAGCACACAAACTGGGATGGAGTTCCTGTGGGCCCAGAAGTAGGTAGGAGTGGGGGATGTCCGCACCTCCATTCACCAAGCAGGTGTGGGGTATAAGAGTAACAAGAGGAATGTCAGTCTGGCAGGTCCGGAGTGTCCTTGGGATTGCTGGCAAGCAGAACGTATTCTTAAGCCCCAGGAATCTGTGAGAGTGCTGTCTCTTTAAATATCCAAAATAGTCAAGCTGCTTTTAAACATTCAAAATGGTGGCACCCTCTGGACAGGCAAAAGTCCACAGCTCAGCCTGCCTTTCTCTTCACCTTCTCCATTTATTCCCCAGCCACCAGAGCAGTCCTCCGTGCAGTCCCTGGCTAGCAGAGCTGATTTTTAGGTTAATTCTTAGGTCCTACCACCACTTGGCACTCTCCAAGCTGTCTGTGCCGTCAGGATCACTGCCAGACCGCAGCTCTGTATGTCTCCTTTTTTGGTATTTTCATGAAAATTCTTCTGCTAGTTGTGGTTTAGTCCACTTCTATATCCTTCCCTTCAAGGCTCAATGGTCCAGGATTATCTTCTGTGTCTGTGTTAATTGGTTTTCCTTTTCTTTGTTGAGGGTCTGTGCAGTCTTTCTGCCTAGTCCGCCATCTTGCTGAAACTTGTCTTGGGTTTAATAATTCTTTGCAATGGCCACACTGAACTCACAGACCGTACTCATAGTTGTAAGGTTTTTTCGGGAAGAAATAGGTTACAATTTAGGATGAAGAGTGACTCAGGATACAGTTAGTTCTCACTCATAACAGTTTCTTCTCTGTCATGCCCACAGACAGGCATCTGCCCTGACCAGGAAAGTGTTACAGAGTTCTTTAGCTCTACCAGTAAGTGCCTGGGTTTACTACTCCATCAGTAAACCTCAGCCTGAAGGCACGCAGCTCTCTCCCTCCATGGGTCAGCAAGCCTAGCTCCATCACCAGTGCCTAGAGGCCCCTCACTCCACCAGGACACCTCCTGCTCAAAGGCCCATAGCTCTCTCACTCCATTGGTTGGCACACTCATGATAACTGCATTGCTTCATGTGCCAAGCAGCCTACTGTGCTGTCTGTGTATTGATCTCCCAGTTCTGCTGCCACCATTTCTCTTCCACTGCTTCTTGCCATCTTGCATTATCTCTGGTGGTAACAACTTTCTCTGTCTCCTGTGTTTAGGAGGTTCTCAGCGCAGGATTCCTGGGTCCAGAGGATGAGCTGTGCTTCTTTCTCTTCCTGGTAGTAGTGAAGTCCCCCCTTTCTGCCTGTGGTCTTGCTCATTTTAAGCCTAGCATGATGGCAGAACTGTCTATTCCCCTTGGTGGGCCACAAGCACCTTATTTGCATAGTCCTATTAGATCTTTTAGTAGAACATGAAAGACCATGGCTAGAAGGGCCATATATGAGTGTTCCTTTATGCCTCAGCTACGATCTTTGTTATTGTTTTACTTCCCCTCATTTTCAAGCTTGCAAACTCATGATGAACGATAATTAATATAGAGTAGTCACTTATTAGGAGCCCTGGTGATGTAATGCCTAAGGCATTTGACTGCTAACCAGAAGGCTGGTGGTTCAAACTCACTAGCCACTCCCTGGAAGGAAGATTGAGCAGTCTACTTCTGTAGAGATACCGTCTCGGAAACCTAAGGAGGAGTTGCTATGAGTCACAATTGACTTGACGGCAGTGAATTTTTAAAAAAATATTTTTAGTCACTCATTAACTATAACATAACTAAAAAAAACAACTGCCATCGAGTCTATTCTAACTCATAGTAACCCTATGAGACACAGTAGAACTGTCTCTTAGGGTTTTCAAGGCTATATATCTAAACAGAAGCAGACTGCTTTATCTCTCCCACAAGGTGGCTGATGGGTTTGAACCACTGACCTTTTGGTTAACAGCTAAATGCTTAACCACTATGCTTAACTCCTAATATAAAATAGGGTAGTGAAAATGATGGAAGTGATTGCTGTAGAGACCCACTCTGCTCACTTGTGTTTTCTTGTGTTTATTCCCCAGGCTTACTTATGAATCATTGACTGCCTTGGAGATCCCTAATGACATGTTACAGACCATCCAAGATCTTATTCTGGATCTCCGAGTACGCTGTGTGATGGTCACACTGCAGCACACAGTGGAAGGTATGTGAAGAAATGGTAGCCCTGACTGGACATCGGCTTCCTGACTGTGCCCCCACATTCCAGTCCTCCAAGTCTTTGGAAATGAGAAAATTCCTTCTGTGGAAAATTGAACATATTAGATCATCGTATTGCTAAATGCTCAGTAGATTTTTTTTTTCATTTTTCTCAGTGTCTTTTTATATCAAGTTGGTTGACATGCATGACCATGTAGAAATTATAATATATATACACATGTAAAATAGTTAAGGATATAAGAAAATCTTATGGTATAATGTTAAGTAGAATAAATAGGATACAAACTATAAATAAAGTATGATCTGAGTTTTGGAAAATATATATATATATACTTGTGTGGATGTGTATATGTTTGCATTTTAAAATTTTAATTTAAAAATATCTATGTAAAATTGGAAGAAAGACTTTTAGGGATGGTTCCCTGGGTAGTAGAAAGTACAGCTGATTTTCATTTTCTTTATACTTTTTAGAATTTTCAGAATTATCTCTGCAGAATCTGAAATGCAATAAAGGTTATCTTTACAAAATCAATCAAAACAAAAACATAGTTATAAATGATACAGGTCTTTAGTGTCTGTCACCTGGCCTTTTAAGTAAGAAGGTTCCCACTACCCAGATTTGGTGTCCAATAAATGATGTAAAGTGAAAGAGAGGGGAGCCCTGGTAAGATAAGAACCATTTTCTTCTTCATTCCCTCACCACCCCTCTGTAGGGCCTTAGAAGCAGCCTGTACTGAGAAGAGTTTGGGAAGTCGGGCACTCCTTTAGCCATGTGAGAATCTACTGCTATCCCCTCTACATTTTCAAAAGAAATTTTAAGGAAGAAAATATTCTGTGGGTTATTTTGTACTTGTTAAGTATGTTCAAGAATGCAGAATAAATAGCACATCATTGTCTATAGTTGCCATTGAATCTAACTTACGATTCCCCAAATTAAGCTATATAGTAAAAATTTTTATTTATGTTAATGTTTTATCAGAAAAAAGCCAGTGAACAATAAACATTCAAATTCTGCAGTCTATCAGAATTATATTATATCCTCACATTTTTATAAACCTTTATAAAACAAGTAAAGATCATAATCTTTATCTTTTCCTCTGTAAAATTCAGTGAGATAATTATAATAAAAAGTACGTGTTTGCTTATTTTCTATGTAGAAATTAAGAGATTAGCTGAAAAGGAAGACTGGATTGTTGACACTGAAGGACTGACTTCTCTTGTAAGTTTAAACTCTTTAATTATTACTCATTTAGTGTATACTCTGGTGGTGCAGTGGCTAAAGCATGAAGCTGCTAACCAAAAGGTTGGTGGCTCAAGCCCATCAGCCACTCTGCAAAAAAAGGATAAGGCAATCTTCCTCTGTAAAGATTTATAGACTCGGAAACCCAATGGGGGTTGCTGTGAGTCAGAATGGACTTGATGGAAGCAAGTTTGTTATACTGTATTAAATAAATGATTTATTGTATTAAATAATTTTTCCCTTAGAAACTATTGCTTTTTTTTTCTTTTCCATGTTGTTTTCTGTTTTTCTCTTGCATTTTTAAAGAAATGACACATCCTCTCTGCCTTGCAACTCTGATTATTTTCTAAAAATAGAAAAATAAGCTTCTAAAATTTTCCTTTGCAGAGTCATTTTTGCTTAATATGAAACACAAATATTTAAAAAATTAATAAAAATGAATTTCTTTTACAGTGATCTTTCATCTTGTATCACTTACTATTTTTTCTTTATATTACTTTTTTCAGTAGACTTTTTTAAAAATTTTATTGTGGTGAAAACATACACAATAAGACATTAACTAACATAACAACTTCCCCATTTACAGCTCAGGGACATTGATGACATTTTTCATGTTGTGCCACCATGATTGCTATCCTTTTCCAAAATATTCCACCACCCTTACCATAAACTCAGTGCCCTACAAACAAAATCTTCCCTTTTCTCCCTCCCTCCTACCCATGGTAACAACTAATAATCTTTGATTTATATATATATATTATATATATAATAATCTTTGATTTTTTTTTTTTTTTAATATGTATTTTTTTCTCAACCTACCTAGGAATTTAAGGAACTCTGGTGGTGTAGTAACTAAGGCAATTGACTGCTAACCAAAAGGTTGGCAGTTCAAACCCACCAGTTACTCCATGGAAGGAAGACTGAGCAATCTACTTCCATAAAGACTTACTGCCTCAGAAACCAAAAGTGAGTTGCTATGAGTCGGAGTTGACTCAATGGCAGTGAGTTTTTTTTTGTGTGTGTGTGTTGGTGTCTAGGAATTTAGGCTCCCCTTCCTTCCCATTCCTGCCATTCCTGGTAACCAACAAAGAAAGCTTCCTTCTATGTCTCAACCTTTTCTTGACTTTTTACAATAGTGGACTAATACGATATTTGTCCTTCTGAGATTGACTTATTTCACTCAGCATAATGTCCTCCAAGTCCATCCACATTATGTGGTGTTTTGCAGTTTTTACATTATTCTTTAGGGTTGCATAGTATTCCATTGTGTATATGTACCACAAACCAGTAAACCAGTTTGTTTATCCATTCCTCGGTTGATGGACACTTAGGTTGTTTCCATCTCTTTGCTGTTGTGAATAGTGCTGTGATGAGCATGGGTGTGCATATATCTCAGCCTCTCACCTCTTTAGGATATATACCTAGTAATGGGATTGCTGGATCAAATGGTATTTCTATTTCCAGCTTTTTAAGAAATTGCCATATCCAGCAGTAAGGAAGAGAAAGACAGAGAGAGGTACATGGGAGGTACAGACAACAAAGATGAACCCTTTTGCACATACAGTACTGTGTTGTCAGTGAAGGCAAACATGGATATATGGGTGAATAGATGAATGGATAGGCTGAACTATTAGGTATGTCTATGAAATGGGGAGTGTATCCAAGAACATGTATAAGGTTGGCAGACAATGGTCCTATAAGTTTATTTGAATGATCAGAATTCCCAGGTGTATAGTAGAGCTGAAAAGGGGCAAGGGTGTGGTCACTGCTTGGTCACAGCCAGCTACCCAGAGGCACCGAGTAATTGAACCTGTGGGATTGGGACCATAGTCACAGGGGACATCAAGCTCAATTGGCATAACATACTATACAAAACATTGTTCCACTTCCTACTTTGGCGAGTAGTGACTGGGATCTTAAAAGCT